GTATTTTCGTTGCGTATTTTCGTTAAGCCGCTTTTGCTTCATGATTTCAACTGGAAACATGACTGTACCGCAGGGCTGTTGAATACCTGCATCTCTCCCTCTTTGCGTGGTTGGGTTTTTTTTTTTTTTGTTGGTGGGGGGGGGGGATGGCTTTTCAAGATTTTCTTTATCGCCTTATTAAATAGTTTCTGGAAGGCGCCGTGGTACCAGTCGTGTTCTTCCTTGGGAGGCAATAGGTTCTATACTGAGGGGGATTTTTTGTCGTGATTTTGATCGCCATCAACGAAAAGTTACATCCGTACACTTTTCGATTACAGGGGGGGGGGGGGAAAAATACCGGCAAAGTTATCTCTTCTTCTTCGCACTGCTGACTCTAGGAAGGTGATCCTCCAACCTGTTGAGACCCCAGCAACGGACTCTTTTCACACCAGACCCTCCAATCGATAATTCTTGTGCAGAAAGTGATGCACGCAGCGACAAAGAACGGGAATTTTCTTAGCTAGAATGCGCGTGCCTTTCAAACTCAAACTTCATTTTCTTTTCTAATTAAAAAACTCTCAGCTCCTTGCCGCGTTTTCTCTCCGAAAATATCAACAGGGTGGTTTCCAGGTAAAAACCGTTTTTGTTGAAGAAAATTGGGAGAATCCCAAATCCTCCATTTCGCAAAATACGGCGCGGCTGTTCTTGTTTTTCAGAGCGCGCAGCTAACCGCGCCTAACTTTTTTACTTCCGTTCAAGATTTTCTTTGTTTTCAAACAGCCAATCAAAAAATTCGAATTAAATCAGGGAAATCCTTTGTCCCCAGAGCCCTTCGTTTCTCGTGCGCTAGGCCCCGCCGGACTAAGAGTGATGCGAAAGGGCTGTGGGGACGAGAATGGATCAAACTCCTTCCCAGTCCCCTGGCGCATTGTTTCTTGGAAAAGGCCAGGTTGCTCAGCTTTGTTCCGAACACGAACGATTTTCAGAAATTTTCCTTCGTCGGGCAAGCGCTGAAGCAATGGCCTAAAGTGTCCTTGAAAAACAAAAACATAATCAGACTTCAAAGACAAGTAAGTTAAATTTTTGATTGGAAAGAAAGTATATTCTTTTCTTTCTTTGGATTAAATTTGTGATTCACGGTTCATTTGTTTGTTCTTTTCTCGTAAACTCTGTTAGCCGTGTGCCGTGTTGATGAAGAAAAGCGATCAGATTGTAGTGATATTTTGCGTAAACTGAGTCTTCATTTTTTTTAGGTACAAAAACCTTTTGGAATTTCCGAGGGGCGGAGTGGATCCATGTTTAAAAATTACTGTGGAAATTCCTGGTGGGAGGGGGTTCATCAAAGACCCCCTTGGAACGGAAATTCCTGAGGGGTGGGGGGGGGGGGGGGGGGGGGGGGGTTGAAAACCAAAATGTCTTCCGTGGAGGGGGGAGGGGGTATTATGGATTTCTGTTTTGTGGATATCTTCTGGAACCACACATTATATTTATACATTCACACATTGGGGGATACTTACGCTGTATATATATACAGTATGTACCTTAGGCCCAGTTCCAGACGTCCGTACTTCACATGAAGCAGGAATCGAATTCGAATTTAGGGCCAGCCCCAAATGTAATTTTAGACCGGCTGAATTGATTCGACGCCGAGCTTAATTCAGAGCCAAACTTATTTTAATAGGGAAAATTGCGGTTATATTGAAAAATACATTATAATAATTCATGCATTTGTTTCGGCTCATGTGAAGGTCGGCGTCTGAATCCTAGCCGGTCCACATCCGTTATTCACGGCTGAGCCGATCCGAATTCAATCAGCCGTTTCAAATTGATTCAGACGCCGTACTACACATGAACTTAATTCATCGAATTAGATTCGGCTCATGTGAAGTACGGCATCTGAACTGGGCCTTGGGGACGAAACACCCACACATTATACTATTCATACATGTACAATATTGCATAAAAAAACCGTGACAACATTTATGGAATAGAAAATGGTGCTCTTGTTTACATCGTCTGATGAAAATACAAGAAACAGTTTGGGAGAATTTGAATTCCATATTCTCCCAAACTTTCCCTTGTGTTTAGTGTTTGCATCAGGTTCTGTAAACAAGTTGATTGGCTGAAGCGGCCATTTTCTATGATTTCTTTTATAAAATAAAGCCAACAAAATGCAATGATACGTCATAACCGTAGTTACATAGCCAATCAGAGCACATGTTATACATGTATATTATCTAAGTTTTCTAATAAATGATTGTTTTAATGTTCATTACAGGTAATGGGACAGGAGGTGAATCTATTTATGGAGGCACATTTAATGGTCAGTATAAATATTTCATACATGTATGTAACTAACTTTTAACAGTATTTTTACCAGTGAATCCTGGCTACATTAATTTTGTTCATCATAAGCGATGCTGGATGCTGAACGCATACAATGTAAGGTTACTTATGATTTTGTCTGAATAAGAGCTCGGGCAGGAGCAAACTTTTATCTAGAGTTTACACTGTCATATTTTTTTATTTATTTCTCACACACTGGCCACTGGTAGCCTTGCCAAGCCGACCACCGCAGCCTGACCTTTATTGTAAAATCAAAAACTTGACACATATCATGCTAAAAACTGGGAAGCTACCAAAAATTACATTGTACTAACGCCGCATACAAACTGAAGTCTTTGGGTGGGTGGGCGAGAAGGTCAGTATTGCATGCCCGCCTCACTGGTCACATGACCTATACCCAGGCCCCAGTGGTGTGCGAGAAATATTTTCCACCTATACGTATTTCGTTTCAGTCAGCCAGTGGATAATTACCTTTAGTTATTTCTGGCAATAAAATAATAATATTGATTTGTATTGTGCAAATTCAAACATACGTTTTCAATAGCAGTTAGTTATTACAGTTGAGCCCGCAGTCAAATATTATTTTGTATTTTAAAAAGTATGCAAACAAGTTAGGCTCGATTTCCGCCGCTCTCTCGAGTGTGGTTTTCGTTCTGGCTCATTTCCCCGAACAGCGCCTGGTAATCGAGCCTACAAATGAGGCTTAATGGGCCAATACAATGCCAGATTGACCTTTCGCCTCGTTTGCATGTCAAACCGCTGACATCTGTAATAACTACTATTGCACGTAACGTTTGAATAATAAATTACATGAAGGCCTCTATGAGCAGACTAAGAAAATAATAGGAAAATACTTTAAAGTTAGGCATTTGGTTGATAATTAAAACTTTTATGCCTGCCAGATACTAAAACAACATAATTTTAACCAAGTTAACAATAAAGAGCAGGTTGCCCAGCATGTGTACCGTAGCACACGTGTACACAGTAGTGTGTGTACAGTAGCACACGTGTACACATTGGCACACGTGTACACAGTAGCGGCTTATTGGTTCCTGTGGAGATAGTAATGTTGCTTTGATGTAGTACATGTAGCATGTGTATCAGTTCTTTGGAACTCACATACTCCTTAGCAATTCTCATGTTTGGGTGTGTTTTCTCATATCCCCCCACCCCCCCCCCCCCCCCCCCCCCCCCCCCGCTTCGGCCTTTCCCTTTCACTATTTATTCAGTGAGTCAGGGCTTGTTGGCCCTTTCCTTTCCCATCATGAGGGGGGTGGGGGGAGGGGGCTACCCAACATTCATGAAGCAATGCAGGTGTCACAAAGTTCCAGATACTCTGTTTAAGAAAACATTATTTAAGGACATGAGGGAAATTTTTTATGCTTGAGCGTATGTGAATGCAAGTTGAAATTCGATCATCACAAGTTCAACTTTACCGATCGCGTGGTCAACAAATGACTTTCACATGATAAGAATTCAATCACCTCAAGAATAAGAATTCAGTCACCTCAAGTTCAAATTTCAAATGGCCGTTTGGTTTTGATAGTAATTAAAGGTAAAAAAATGTTTTCAGCAAACATTATAACCTACACACCTCTTTTGCATAAAAATCCCTGAATCAACCTTTTCTTTCTGAATGTTAGAAATGCCTTTTCATTGTAGTGTTAATTTTGCTGAATGTTTATTCTGACAGATGAATGCTTTCAACTAAAGCATGAGAAGCCATCTGATTGTTATTAGAGGGCCAAATACCAATGGATCACAGTTCTTTATGTAAGTAACAGACTTGTGCAATGCACATGTCAGTAGAGGATCATAAAATGCAGTACCGTAAAAGCTCTATCTTATTTAATTTCAGGCTCCAAGAAGGGGGGGCTTTATAGAGAGGGAGTGGGGGGGGGGGGGGGGGGGCTTATTTCAAATCATAAATTTTCAAGAAAAATAATATTAAGTTTTCAAACTTTACTATTACACCACTAACTAAAACAGAACATGAAATGGGTTGTGTATCACCGTCTCACAAATGCAATGTCATTTATACCCTAACCAGCAGCTTATCACCTAGGTGATAAGCTTCTGCCCTAACTCAACGATACTTCTGGAAATTAATAAAAGACCATGTTTCAATGCAAAGTGACTGAAACGACAGAAAATATTACTGAAAGATCATTTACATCAGCCTGACGGAAAGGGGGGGGGGGCTTATTACAAAATTTTACTTCCAAAGGGGGGGGGGGGGGGGCTTATTTAGAGAGGGAGGCTTAATAGAGAGGGGGCTAAATAGAGCTTTTACGTTATGTGCATGATAAATATAATTAGAATGGCTTAAAGGATTAAGATCAATAAAATTTGACTCTGAGCTGGGAGCGATGCAGTGCCAGTGAAGTGGTGAGATCATAAACCTTTTTGCACTATTTCAGGCCTAGAAAAAATTAACATACGATCATGTATCTGTTAACTCAAATTACTGAATGAAAACTGAGGGGTTATGCGATGGTGTTACTAACTTTAAGTACATGTTCAAGCCTGGTCAGAGCCATTGTTATGTTCTTGGACAAAACACTTTTAATTACTCTAACTGTACCTCTGTTTCTCCACCCAGGAGTTTAAATGGATACCGACAAATTGTTTGGGAAACCTAACAAAAATGTATGTAGCTACAATGTACTTTTGAGTTCCTCCAGCAGGAGTTGAACCTATGACCTTCCACACACTGGTTAGAGGCTCTACCACTGAGCAACAGGAGACTCATGGGAGGTTGGGAGCTACACTGCAGGACATATAACTATGTTCAAAAGTGACAAACATCCCACATAGCTTGTGTCTCTGAATCATATCGAGTTATGTCACGATAGTTAAAGTCAATTTTGTGTAGCCTGTGTACATCCGCCTCCTCCCCTCAAAATAAATCGGGAATTTTTTTGGAGGGGAGGAGGTGGATGTACACAGGCTAATTTTGTGATGTACATGTACAAAATATCTTCAAATTGAAGGAAACCTCAACATAATAGTAAATTCACTATTGTCTTATGCAATGCCGATGGTGGCAAAAAACCTGTATACTAGATATATGGTCCTTAGTGTGGCTTATATGATTGTTTCTTTGGGGTGTCCACTTGAAACAACAGAAAAATCAAAATAGTATCCCTCAAAAGTGTCTGCGGCTGCTTTAACGGAATGGCTGCATACGGGAATGTGTAAATGCAGAGTTTGTATGAGAGTTCAAACGGGGTTTTGTCAAGGTTTGTCAAGGGGGCTGTAAGTACATGTAGAACTGTCCGCTTACAACAGTGTCTGCTCAGAGAGCTTACACTGTATATACTTTTTTGTTTTTCAGCCAGCTAATAATGAACCAGAGAAGAGCGCTGTACCTGTCAGTACAGTAGCTGCAGATGAGGTCCCGGGATGTACCTAATAACCTCCTTCCTGTTGAGAAGAAGCCACACCCCACCCCTGTCAGGGAAAAGAGGCTTGAAGAGGCAAATAATAGGTTTGTGTTAAATTGCTCCATGAGAAAAATGATCTTGAGATATTAACTTTCTTATTATTAATAATTCATCAAGTTATAGCAAAGGAAATCATAAGCGTGAAAGAGGCTGTGTTGACAAAGAGGGTCAATGTGTCCCAAGTTTCCTTGTTTATATTTCAAGGCCAGAGTTGTTACATTTTGTGTCGTTTACATTTTGTGTTAAAAAGTTGTTACATTTTGCGACGTAACAGTATCCCCTCCCCCCGGGCTCCCTCCCCTTAAAAAATATTATAACGGAAGTTTCAGTTTAGTCTCGATTAGTCTATAAGTTGGTAACTGATTGGAAATCAAAATTGGACAAATTTTAACAGGAGATGACTATCCAAAAACATTAAAGTAGTGACCCCATGTAAGTAGCGACCACCCGAAAGCTGTACTCTAGGAAGCTGCAACACTTGTTCCCTTCAGAATTGTCACCTCATGCTACTGAAACCAGAGAGTTACATGTAAGCGTTGCCCTGATGAGCTTCTCCTCCTCTGTAGAGGCTCCCTTGGGAGAAGGGAGAAAGGGGAGAAAGAGCACGTGCGGGGGACGATTGGTATTACTGATGAACCATTAGCAAAAAAGTTTCACCAAAATGTTGTTTTTTTCTCACAATCTCTTTTCCAACAATGCAGCAGAAAACAAGGCTCCACCAGAAGAGACTTCTTCCAAGAATGACCAGGGTATGTACAAACACAAACAAGGTGTGATCAGCTTGATACACACGCTCTTGATAATGACCTCATGGCTTAATTATTAAACCCGAGAGACAGGGTTTGATCACAGTTCCAAACCCAGAGAAGAGAGTTGAAAAATATGATGCTCAGTGGAGTATTTTTGATGAAATTCGCAGTTTGGAAATGTGATCAAAAACACTGTCTTAAGTGTTTGATATATCTTCCAACTAAAACTAAGGAGGAAACAGAGATAAAATTGCAAAAAAGTCTTTGGGATTCTGATCTGATATCAAAACATCCGTCATGGTCATGATTCCCTGATGATGAATTATTAATGAGATTGAGACAAACTTGATCAGTCACCGAAATAGACTTCATATTCTCACGGTTGGGACTGGAACTAGCTTGCAATCGAGGCTCATGCGGGGAAATCTTTCATATGCAAATATTTTTAATGATATTTCCCCGCATGAACCTCAATTGCAAGCTACAACCCTGGCCAATACTTCTTGGGACACTTGCTGAAACTGCGTGCACAAATACATTTCGCTAATATAGTAATATTATAATATCCAGAGAAAGCTTGGGAATGTTGTTATTACAGACAATTTCAGGCCCCCCCCCTCCCCCAACCAATGTTGATTGAGTTGAAAATGATTCAGCATGCGTGATGTCAACATTGCACCGGTGGGGAGGGGGGAGGGGCCTGTGTAATTTTACAGTCGCTATTGCGCTAGTGTCCCAATAGTATTGTCCAGGGTTGTAGTTCCAGTCCAACTGTGAGAATATGAATATTGTCTATTCACGGAAATTCTGTGATAAAGAAAATTAGAAAATTAGAAAGATGTTGTTTCAGTTTACATTGTCACGAGCATGGGGAAACGATACGCACACTCTTGATAATGTAGCTTAGTGGTTAGACCAATTCGACCGGGCTCGGACTCCCGTCGGTGACTCAGAGGTTTTTCTTTGTCCTCCCACCCGCTTGTGGACAAACTGAAATAACATTTTGGGTTCATCTTAGATCTTATGTTGTTCATTGGTTGGTTTGTCTACAATATATTCCTCCAACATTATTGGGGTGGCTGTTGGTTTAGAAAAGCCACATACCGTAAAACCTCTATTAAGCCCCTTCCTCCCTCTCTAATAAGCCCTCCTGCTCTTCTATTTTAGCCCACCTTTTTTGAACGCTAAAAGGAGCATGGTTTCTCGGTCCCCAGGCCCTGGTCCTCTAATCCGCGCTCGGGTTTTAGTGAGGTATTTTTTTCCTGGGACTTGAAATTTTATTTGACGCGACTGAAATGAGAGGTTATAACAATTTGGGGGCCTTATCCTTCAACTAAAAAATACCTTCAGGAGTATTTTAGTTGTGAAAAACATTAATTTTGGGGGGGAAAAATGAAACTTTGTAGATTTCCAAGTCTGGGAACGGATTCTTGGCGAGGAAGAGGGGAAATATGGTGAGGGGAACAAATTATCATTGTACAATTTGAACATTTATTGGTCATGGTTATCTGGGTTCGATGGTTATTGTGTTGTGTTCTTGGGTCTCTACGCCAGGAGTATGAAATGGGTACTATGGCGAACCTTTAGGACCGCCTAAACAGACACATGGTCTTGAAAATAAGGCTAAACAAACACACAACTCATAGCTAAATAGGTCTGATAAATAATTAGCTCAAAATTAAGCCCTTCCAGTCCCAAACCTTTACTCCATCTTATCAATTTGTAATGTCTTGTTCGGTCCAGTTCTGTTCAAATTAGTTAAATGGAACAGCTAAACAGTTCTGGTCAAAGGAGAGACCGAGTGGGACTAGGGACTAAGGGCAGTTCTCATCCCCAATTCCCAGCGTGGGAGCGTGGAATGCTGGTGCGGGTATTTATTTTGGCCGGGGAAATCTTTTTTTTTTAAAAACAAACGACACAGCTACTACAGGAAACAGGAGTAAGAAACAATTGTCAAATACAATTAATTCCAACATATCCTCAATAATACTTCTTATTACTTCTTTCAGTTAGATATTTCGCTACTCCTCCACCCCACCTCATCCTCCAATCGAATCCCCGCAACAATGCGAGGCGTTACTTACTCCACCACGACGCCCCGTTTAGTCATCAGAGGCGTTCAAGGTCTCACTCCGCGGGGACCGCGGCGAGATCTCCACCGCGGGCGTTCAAGGTCTCCTCGTGGCCGGTCCTTGAAGGTCTCCCCACGCTAGAAGAGTCGCATCTTTTGAAAGTAAAACGTTCCGGCTCTCCACGAAGGGGGGCGTTCAGCATTCACCACTGCAAAAGCCTTTGCAGATCTTCAAAGAGGGACGTTTCGCGGCAGTCTCCTCGAAAGAAGCCCGAACTCTCCAAGAAGGAATCTCGCACAGTCGTCCACGAAAGGCGTTCAGCATCACTACACTGAAACCTTCTCAGATCTTCAAGGAGGGACGTTTCGCAGGTCTCCTCGAAAGAGCCCGAACTCTCCAAGAAGAATCTCGGCTAAGTCTCCACGACGACGTGTGTTTGTTCTAACCCGACACGAAAACATTCCAAACTCGCGCGACATCAATTAAGAAAAAACATAACCATTCCTCAAAACGAGGGATTATAACCGAAACTTCCTTACTGAGACAAATACAAACTGCGCTAACCGACATTTCCCCGCAAGACTTACTTTACAAACCAAAGGGGACACCAACAAACCTAAACGTATACCTTTTATAACGACTTTCAATTCCATCACTTCCCACCACATCTCTAAAACATCCATAAAAAACATTATAATTTGCTCATGCTCTTCTGACCGCTGTAAAAAAGCTTTTCACATAATCAACAATGCCTCTTGCAGCCTTTAGACGCTCGTCTAACACTACGTGTACTTACTAGTTACAGCTAAACTCCCCTTCTAACTCGACTAATAATTCCATCTACCAAAAACATCCCCTTCCGGTTCTTTCCAGTTGTGGAATTTACTAATTGCGCGTACTTGTCCTTAAAAGCAATTTCTCATGGGACTTACTAACTTATACTTTCTTCTCTACTGGACAAAGTCCGGAGATCTCTATCAAAATCCTAACCTTACCTGTAACACCAAAAATCTAATATTTACACTGATACGGGAACGCTTAAAAGACAGATGTCAATGAAGCAACCGGCCGGTACGCATAGATAACGCTAATAACCCCAAAATCGTAACAACTAGCAACAGGTCCGCTGAATCAAAACTTTTCTCTCCTCATTCCTAATCACAACAGAAAACGAACTGCTGGAACGGACGATGCCAATTAAATCCCCAATTGAAAAAAAATATTTTTCTAACAGAGGTAGGATCTCAAATTTTGAGGCGTAAGGCCAGGGGAAGCTTTTTAATTCTCAAAAGCTAGAACCACTTGAACCCCATGGGCCTCTAACATCCGCGAAGAAAAGGATATTAGATATTTTAGTTTTTCCCTACATTATCTTATTCTATTGTTTTACTGTCAATCTATGTTATCTCCCTGACGTATTTCCGTTATTACGCAAAAACTGTTAGTAGCTACTATATAACACGTATATCAATGTACAATT